TACAATGGACAGCTGAAATACAGATGAACGATTTGGACTTTGATCTGGCTTTTCTATCCCAGACGCAACAACAGATGTAAGGGAAGACGACCAGTGTAACAGCAACCACAGCAACTGCAGGTCACAACATAAATAAAGGGAAAAGCATGCTTCTACGATACAACATAACATCCGTCAACCAAATCAATCTTGATAGAGATTCTTTGACGGACGTTAACACCTTTACGTAGCTTGGCAGCATCATCGACAACCAAGGTGGATTCCATGCTGATGTGTCGGCAAAGCAAGGGCTACATTTCTACAGCTGAAAAATATCTGGAACTCCAAACAACTTTCAGCCAAAACCAAAATCATGATTTTCAATACGAATGTCAAGACAGTTCTAATGTATGGAGCGGAAACTTGGAGAACTACAAAATCCATCACCCAGAAGATACAAGTATTCATGAACAGTTGTCTACGCAAAATACTTCGGATTCGTTTGCCAAACACTATCATCAACAACCTACTGTGGAAGGGAACAAACCAGATTCTAGTGGAGGAGGAAATCAGGGAGAAGCGCTGAAAGCAGATTCGACACAAACTGAGAAAATCATCGAACTGCGTCACAAGACAAGCCCTCATATGGAAAAGAGGAAGGCCAAGAAACACATTACGCAGAGGAAGAGAGAAAGACGTGAGAAGAATGAACAAAAACTGGAAAGAACTAGAAAGGGTAACCGAGGACAGAGTAGGTTGTAGAGTTTTGCTCAGCGGCCTTTGCTCCATTGGAGGTAACAGGTGTACGTAGTATGTAATTAAGTATACCTATTTAAAATTAAATGTAGTTACATTTCATTTCATTTGACGATTCATCTAAACTTCATACAATCAACAAAATAAAATGCAGACTGTTTTTTTTAAATATAATCTCACAAAGTGGTTCATAAAACAGTAATCATTTCATTCATTTTGAGTTTTGATATGCACAAGAATTAAGACTACTTATTTCATTCTATCCAGAACTTGTCAGTAGTTTTCATCCAGGTCCAAACAATCAAAACTGGGATTGCAGCTCTGTACTATTGTCTTCGAACACTTCAGAAAAACATTTAATAAATGACCATATCAGAATGTTCCAACAATAGAGACTAGTTTTTGGGGACGTTGGATCCACAGAACTCACTTGATAAAGATCCTATATTTGGATTTTATGTTCAGGCGTATGGGCTGGTCAGTTAATCTTGAGGTTACATTTCCCACCCGGAAAATCCTTGACTGTCATTGGTTGATATGTTATTTTAGTACGCTACTATTGTGGCTCTCCCAAGGACGTTTCTATCATGTATAAATAAACTCTATTCGTGTACTTAAAAACCTCATATTTTCTGGCTGCTAGTAGAATACTCTTTCTACACCATATCAAAACTTCTACTTAGAGGGTCCTTAGGACGATCGGATTGGAGCAGCCTATCGTCTTACTGGATCTCTCGTTTACCGATTAGGATGAACTCTTAATAGTTTCAAGCATATCAACTCAAGTGCATAACACTGGTAAATATCAGTGTTTAACCTCGAGAAATGATGGAAATTGTAAAATATTTTCAGCGTAATAAATATTCAAAACTTGCTTTCCTACCTGATTGCATAATTAATTCTTTGAGTTTTGCATAAAACAAAATTCACATACAATTATCATTTTATTGTCATGATAATATGTATACTGTGTAGATATAAATATCAAAATTCATAAACCTCTTTCTTTTTTTTAAAAAAAAAATCATTCTACACAGGATCGATTTGTTCAATCAACATCAAGTATGAAATCGAAAATGACCAGACAAATTGGCAATAAAAATGAGATCACGAGTAAATTCACAAAAATTCATCATCAACATGAAAGTTATGTATTGATTGTTATTTTGGGTTCTCTAGCTGGTGTATTACTCATCATATTCATTGCATTGATCACATTTTGTATCTGGTATCGATTACGTTTGAAATCTCAATATCCTCGAGGTAATGTAGTGAACAGTTGTCATTTTCTTTCTGTATATCTGTTTGTGTGTGTGTGTGTGCATTGGAATAATGTGATTTATACAGTGAGTGAACTTACAAAATTATTATTTATTATTATGAAGTCATTTCAGTATTGAACTCTAGATTTATAAGCCAGTTTTGTAGGGAATCAATAATAATCGATAACTGAATAGAAAAACGAATAAGCATACATTTTTATTCCGTGAAGCATTGCATTAGTAATTGAATAAAACATCAAGAAGTATAATTTATTATCATATTCTTGATAACAGGTGAAACTTTAGTGTGATATTATATGAGACTGCTTCTCAAGAACTTTGAAATAATTATATACCTGGTTTACTAATTAGATTCTTTGTTGAGTTAGACAACGACCAGTTTTAGATGTAATCTCGTTTTCTGGGTTAATAAATAACTAACTATTCATTCTCATCACATTCGTAATCAAATCCTAATGTATGTTGCATTTAAGCATCGTTTAGATGATTGACTGAATATTATTTACTTGTTATAAACAAATCTATTACAAAAACTCTACAGAAAACAGCTAATTTATCAGCTAAAATGTTAATAATGTTTAATTGATATCACGAATCGATCAATGTTAGACAATCATTATAAGCATGCAAACACTGGTATCGGACTATTGAGCAGCGCATATCCAGGACTCTGGCTCGCAGGGACTGAACGTATAGTCTTCAGTCTCGTGCGCGAATGCTTGAACCCTAGACCGCTGAGCTGGCATCCAACGATGTTATTACTGTCTTTGATATATTTAGGTGGATAAGCACTACTGAAGAGTCCCATAAGAGGAGGAAATTGTCGTCTAGTGCTTACATGAAGACTTATAAATATTCATGAGTACGTCACTTGAGTAGTATAAAATTAGTAGAATGTTTTATGCATCGAACTAGATATTTCGTAATTTTTTTCTGTATAAATGTCATAAAAACGTAGACATATTGAGATGTAAATTACAAAAAATTAAGGCAGACCACATGAAATTCATGAAAATTACAATTTCATGATTTTTATGTACTAATTATATAAAAGTATCACTTTACAAGTTTGAATATTAAAAACATCTTAATATTATAGTTTTTGAATGCATAAGGTTTTAAACTCGTGACAGAATTGTGGTGCGCTCTACTTAAGAGTTTTAAGATGGGATGAATCAGCTATTGACTGTTCCTTGGTTTTTTAATCGTTCCTCAGTCGGTGTATGTACATGACCAGAATCAACTTGACTCTAGTATTGATTAATGGTCTGTGTAATTTACGATATGAAACAGAAAGATTTGTACTACTGATTTAGGTTGAATATTATAACACTTTGCAGTATCCCATAGAAGTATTCTACACTGACTACACAAATTTAAAGAACTTGGTAGTAATACTATTTGTAATATGGTTACTAATCATTTCATTAAAAACTTTTATCCGTAGGTTATTTCGGTGGCTTAAGTGATTCACAGCTGACTGAAACTCCAAAACAGAGACCAATCACTGAATGGGAAAACTTTCAAACTCAACCAACTTCAACATTTGATGAGCATCAAACATTTCCACGTACTGTTGGGAATCTTCATTCACAATCTTTAGGTGATCAGCAGAATTTGATCACAGAGATGAATAATTTTGCAACATTGAATCATTCAACACAATGGGTACAACAGCCTCAAGTAACATGTGAAGGACAGTATAGGAAATCAATGTTTCTTGATGAAACAGTCAAGACATACTGGCCGATTTTAAACTCTAACGAAGCACAGGTAGCATTTATGAAACAATATAATCAAGAAAATGCTATACATGGTTCCCCATTACTTCCAGTTTACCAAGATTATTTACTAAAACAGAAACAGACAAATAATGAAACGAATAATGGTACCTTCTCAGATACTCAGGGTGACAATCAGATTGGTAGTTTAGAAGGAATATTTCAAGATTCCAATGCTGAAGAACAATTCAATGGTATGAACAAATTATCAACCAAGGATATTCAACTTACAAATGACCAGGTAACTATTGTTTAATAAATTCTAATTTTCAAAAAGATTACAGTTCATCTCAACTGATTTAAATTCGAGTAAAAGGTGCTTCATTAGACATTAGATAGCAACTTCATAACTGTACCATAGTCCTTAAAAACTGTTTCTTAAGTTTAGAAGAGAAAACAAAAGCTAAGGACCATGGAGGAAGTTTTGCTCCAAAGGTAAGTTTATTCACAGAACTGGAGGGTATTTATACAATTTTTTTGTGGCCTTATAACTCAAAAACCTCTTGAAAAAGGTTCCCAAGTTAGTACGTAGGTCAGTAATTCTTCAATCAAGAAAACAGAAACGCATTTTATTATCTTCTAAAATTCTCTTTAAGTTACCGAGGAACGCTTATTGATTAATGTATTTTTTGTAGACCTTTTTGAGGAAGTATTACGGGCTGCAATAAAGCATCCACGAAGCATTATCGTTGTTTACAACGTTTTCGTTTGACTAGTCAGTAATTTTATCTGGATATCATTGTCGGGTAATTTCTAATCACTATCATGAATAGAATAAAAGTTAGGATGTTGAACAAATATACATCGGTACAAAATAATATACTATATGCAAACATTTCGATTCGGAGTCAGTGAAATAAAAGCTGGAAAATATGAAATTATTGTAATATGAATAAATAAAAATGCTGCAAAGTAGATGGGAAAAATAAAATATAGTGAGTAATGTTAAACGATATATTTAATGAAAGAGCAAAAGAGAAGGTAGATAACTCATGTTAGGTGAAATTCCGAAACATTGATCACTATTAGTTTACAGGTTTGATACAATGTACTTATACGCCCAGAAATTCAGTTCAATTCAACAATTTTATGATTGTTCACTGTTTTTTTAAACGGAATCTCACAAGGTTTCAAAATTTTACTAATTTCAGCACAAATATCAATTATTGTTTAATGAAAATTTTAATGTTTGATTTATGAATAATTTTTACAATTGTAATCACGCAACATCATGTCTCAACAACTGTTTTCGTATCATCATTTACAACCATTCAATATTCAATAAGAATGAATTATGATTTATTTATTTTCTTTTTTTACGCTTCAAGACAAAATACACGCAACTAATGATAATTGAAAAAAAAAACAAATTGTACTTGATCATTTTTTGTTGTTGTTGTTGTTTAAAACGGATTAATCCATTTTGTTGATAAGTGGGTGGAATCTAATTTAAAATTTGAATCAGCTGATGTCTAGGGAAATAGAGTGATAAGTGATGAATTATAGCTGATAAAAATAAAAATGTTAGCGTATTAAATTTAGTGGTTAATTGATTGATCTAATTGTCAAATGAATGCAAGAGAACAATTTCCACAAACTCTCTTAATATTCTACCTTCCTGATGACTCGGGTAAGAATTCAACAAGTTCTGAAAGAGAAGCTGTGACTAATAGATCAAAAAGTAATAACTGATAGTAAATACTGATTGAACGATTGTGACGTAATAATCAATGCTGAATTATAAACCATTGATTAGTAACTTAGTGGTATAAGTTTACGGTGCTAGAGGTTTCAGTCTCGATAGTATTTTAGGTTGTCAGTAAATACTTCCAAGGATACATAGAGAATTTGTTAAAACGAGACATCTATTCAGGCAGAGTTTTGGAGGTTTTGTGTTTCTACACATTTGAAATCATCAATCAATCATTGTTATACCACCATTAGAAACCTGGAAGCACTGGACGGCCGTTTTGTCCTGG